ATATATATATATATGTATGTGTGTGTGTGCGTGTCTATCTATATAATTTCAACACAATTTATTGATAATTGAACTGGAAAGTTGATAAATTGCATTGCTGAAATGGACAAAGGTAAAATCAAGTTTAAGGAAACTCGACAGATAATAATAATTATAAAATAATAATAAGATGAAGAAGAAGAAGACAACGTATGCCTTGCTGCAAATTCTAATGAAATGGAATGCGAACCAGCAATATTTACCAGCAACAGCAACAGCAGCAGCAGCAGCAACAACAATATCCACAACATCAAGTGCATTACTCTCGCTATCGCTCTCGCTCTCTCTGCCACACACACACACATACACACACACAGATACAGACACAGAGCCACACAGACATCAATACATGCATGCATTTACATAGAGTCACAAAGGCAAAAAAAAAAAAAAAACATGTTATATTTCCAAACTAATGCATTTCTGTTTCGTTTTGCTCTTTCCCCAACTCTTCTCTCTCTCTCTCTCTTTCGCTCTCTGTGTGCAGCTTAATGGCAACTCCAAGCCTTTGCCACCACCTCGTGATCATCTGCGCATCGAGAAGGATGGACGTCTCATTAACTGCGCCCCAGCACCACAGCTGCCAGACCGGCGAATACCCGGCAATGGCAGCGCCATTCAGCATCAGCACCAGCAGCAGCAACAACAACAACAACAACAGCCACAGCAAATAGCGCAAGTTGTGGCGCCAACGCTCGAGCAATTGGACAGTATTAGAAAATATCAGGTGAGCAAGATAAGAGTGACAATCAATAAATATAAATGTGAATGAGTATATATGTATGTATATGTATATGTATATTTATATATATATATATATTATAGTTCTACATTTGCATATAGATAGATTCATTCTGTGTATGCAACATGAAATTTCGAAACTGATTTTCGTTTTGCGCCTGCTGTTAGGCTATGCAAAACAGCTATGCAAGACTGCCCAACCCCGCTCAGTGGCTGTCAAACTGCATGCATGTTCTTTTGATCGTAACAGAACGTATCTCTATCTTTAAATAAATATGATTTGAAATGAACTTTATGAATCAAATTTATAATTCGTAAAAGGGTGAACTACAACAATTTATAAATGTTGTTGAAACTTAAGAAATTTTGGCGAAATAGTAAAATAATTTCCATTATTTGAGATATATATGAGTCTTATATCACAGAGTCTTATGCTGCCAACCATCCAATGTAATTAATATGAAATGCTGATTCTATAGATAGATAGATTGACGTTTATAATACTTATAGGCCCAATAGTGCATTACTACAGTGTGTATTCATTTTGTAGAACATTTATACATAAGACAAAGATAAGCACGTGTTCATCAAGTCTCCAGATTCGATATCGATAAATATCGATTGTGAAAGGAAGCGAATGCTGATTTGGAATGGAATATTCCAGTCAAGAATTATTTTAAAGACTATTTAGTAAAGTTCTGCTCAGGTAGTAGCAGTGTTGTACTACGCTAAGCTGGGACCAAACAATGTCACTCGAAAAATAAATAGATGTCTACTTCTTGTTTAGAAGAGAATTGTGAAATAGTTCAGTCAGTGCTCACTTGTTTTTTTTTTTTTTTTTGGGCTTATGTGACCACACATATGTATTACACTGTAAATGTGGTACCTACTATATATGTATGCGAATGAATGTGCATGTATATGTTCCATATACGAACTGATATACCCTAACAAGCAATCACATCTGCCCAGCGCGCGCTCTCTCTCTCTCTCTCTCTCTCTCTCTCAATGTGAATTTAAAGTTTTTCCTCTGTGCCGTTTAATTACCGCAGTTCCATTGAAGCGATAGAAAATGGTAAAAGTTTTCCACTGAGAACGCACACGCCCAATGGCTGTCAAACTGTGCGCATATGCAGAACAAGCAGCAGCAGTTGGAAAACATTGAACGAGGCGACGCGTCGTCACAGTCGAGCGCCGAGCGTCATTTAACATGCACAGCAAGTGGCAACAGTTCCGCATGCCGCATGCCGCATGCCGCACGCTCCCGCTCACCTTTGAATGTCAACCCTGCCCCGCCCACTGCGACAGCAGCTTTGTTTGCCTCGACGACAATGGACGACGCTGTTGACGGCGGCTATGGCAACGCTTCCGGTTCGACATTCGACATTCGGCTTCTGCTTCTGCTTTTGCTTCTGGTTATTGTGCCATTGGCCATTGACCAATTGGCGCCCAGTGCATGGCAAACCAAAGCAGCCGTTGCTCTCAAACTGTTGCACACCAAAACCCAACCATCTGCGTAGCAGGAACTGCCGCTGCTCTTAGCCAGCAAAGCAATTACAAAGTTTACCGCACAAAGACAATGCAAACGAGGCAGCGCGCGCGCCTGGTCACTGGAGAGCGGGGGTGGCCCAGCAGGAGGGGAGGGACGTAGATTTGGATAATGGGAGACGGGGAGAAGCGTGAATAAAAGTTGCTGAACAACTTTTTCTGTGCGCCGCACTTTTAACTAAATGCGAAAAGGGATAGCAGAGAGAGAGAGAGAGAGAGTATTGGGGAGTAGGCGGATGGGGGCGGTTAGGGGTAAGAGGGGAGGTCTGTGGAGACAGCGTCAAACAATAACAAGTAGTTAAATGCGTGGGCGTTATTTCGGCTTCAATATGGAGTGTGTGTGTGTGTGTGTGGGTGGCGAGGCGGTGGGTGTAGGTAGGGGGTTTGGCTGGGTCAGAGGCGTGGGCTGAGGCAGGTAAGACATTACTCAAAAGGCCGCTGAACGGAGGAAATTTGCAGTAATTAATTATGCAAAGTTTTAATCGATGTGTGTGGACTGTGGGAGGGGCAGGTGTTGGCGCAGGTGGACGGGCCCTAGTGAGAGAGAGCGAGAGGGAGGGACGGAGAGGGAGAAGAGCTCCACAGTTGACTTGTTAAACAACAGCAAGTCGGAAAGGTAAAGTCAAATGTATAATTAATTAAAAAGCAAAAACGAAATGGGCAAACAGCTAAAGAGCCACTGAAGCGCAGCGAGCAGCTCAAACTGTACTATTAATGGGCTTAGATAGACAGAGATAGATAGCTAGAGAGGAAGGGTGGGAGAGATTTGAATTTCTAAGCTATATAATACATATGGCTGACCCATATATGAATTACGATTTACGATCCATGAAGTCTACTTGAATTTTGCTGGCTTGGCATTACCCTAGAGCTAGAACTTGGCTTAATCACAATTGCGATGGGGCTAGCGGCGTCAGAAGCAGCGATAGATGAAGCAACTAAATCGATTTCCGCTGGGCACTTGACTGAAAAGTTGTAGAAAATCCTCTTGAATGCCCACAGTTTATCAGATCATCTTTTCGAGCTTAAATCAAGTTCATTCAGAAATCAGTGAGCATATTAATGTCTATTTTAAGTAATATTTTGGAATAAACTGACAGTTACTTAACGATCCACCATCATATCGGTAATAATATAGGCAAAAATTGAAGGCTACGATCGAGATGCTCTACATCTCGATCAATCCTAAAGAAAACTTAAATGTATTCTATAAATTGCCAATTGTAATACGATATTATTCGGTTGTCACTTGGCCAACTGAGGATGATAGCTCCGATTGAAACATAATAGAATTATGTTTGTAGACATCATTTATATAGGAAGGAATACGGAGTGAATACTATGTACAAGCTCTGGATTCTATTCCTTACAATTTATTGCGGCCTAACAACTTCACATTCAAACAACTTTTAGTTGTACAAAATCTATTGATGAAATTAATATATTTTGATAGTACAGTTCGATATGGAATGTACTTAGTACATATGTAAATACTTCTTGAATATGAATAGGCATGAAGGCATGAAAGATATACGAATCATATATATTTTAGGTTTGTGTAAAATTGGTAATCTTCCATTTAAGCCCGTTCGAATAACCTATATCTCGGATTGTATATACTTCAACAACAGTTATCTCTGTCTCTCTCCCTCTCTCACGTCATACAATATTACCGATGCGAGACATGGAATAATTAAATGCATTTATCCTTGATCATTATTAGTATTAAATCGCATATCATTATATATTCCATACCCTATTTTCATCAAAAACAGTATACCCTGTTGAGTTCTGCTAGTTTAGGGCATAAGCACTTGACTAGGCTCTCTCTCTCTCGCTCTCTCTCTCTCTCTCTCTCTGTCTAACTGTGACTCTATCTCGCGCTCTCTCGTCATATTCTAAGGAGATGCAACTGCATTTTTGTTGTTTGTTTTTTATTTTTTTATTTTGATTCTATTTTTTTGTCATGCCAACCAAGTTGAGTGGAAATCAAACAATTGCATTTGTTTTTCTGTTAACTGTTGGGCGTATTCATTTGCGGATTGACCTGTTGTTGGCTGGAAATGGGCCGGGTCTACCGTTAAACAAAAGGGGTTGTCAATATTGTTGTTGTCAAATACGCTCTGGGGCTTTGCAGTGTTTTATTGTTGTTGTTGTTGTTGATTTTTTGTTACCCCAAGTACGCAAATTAGTTAAGCCGTTTTTTTTTCATTTATTTATACGACAATTGGCAACGATGACAGTGCTTGTGTGTATGTGTGTGTATTGTAGGTGTAGCTACACGGACACACACACACGTGCACACATGCACACATACATACATGCATAGTGGGGACTCATAAGCAGCAAAAGTCGTCGCATTTTGTTTTACACATTGCGAGCTCTCGTGTTGCTGTTGTTGTTGTTGTTGTTGTTGCGACTGCAAACTTGGCTCACACTCACACTCTCACACAGTGACTACAAAATCCCACTCAAAAATAAAAAACACACGCACACACACACACACACACACATGCAAGCACTCACCGAGCACACACACACACGCACGCATACATAGACAGAAACCTGCGCTCACTTTACAATTACTCATGCGCCCGCCGCGCACTGCTTCTGCTTGTGCTTGTGCTTGTGCTTATGGAGTGCAGAGCGAGGGGGGCAGCGACTGCGGAAGAGTGTCTGCGGGAGAGGGAGAGGGAGAGGGAGAGAGGAAGCGTGCTTGGGCCGCTTTACCGCTCATTTGTTATGATTTTTCAGTTGGCATTTTTAGTTGTTTTTCTACGCGTTCTGCGATCGGCCGCATTTTCAGCTTTTGCGCTTCGGGCAAGCGTGCGTACGTGTGTAGACGGTCTTTGTCTCAGTGTGTGCGTATATTTGCGTGTGTGTGTGCCAGTGAGTGTGGGGGGCGATAAGTCATATGAACTTTGAGTATATCGGCTATATACTCGGTCGCATATTTCGTTGGCCATAAACTGAATTCGTTTTTATTCATTTTTATTTTTTTTTTAATATTTTTTTTTTATTGAAAGTGACTGTGTGTGTGTGTGTGTGTGTGTGTATGCAGTTGGTTAACTAACAGTTGTTGTGTGCCATCTACCCCTCGCTTCAGTACAGTTTGAGAGCCATTGCAGTTTTAGAGCCGCTGCGGTTGCCCGGCTGGCAACAGTTTTCAGTCAAATAAGGCGCGGCCGACAGCAACTGCGTTGAAAGCACGTCGCAGAAAAAACAAAAGTAAAAAGAAAAAGAAAAAAATTTACAAAAACTTAAACAAAAAAAAACAATTTACAATGTCATTTATGGATTTATGGGCAATGGGCGTACGGCCTACATGCAACAGCAGCAGCAATAGCAGCAGTTCTATGGGCCAACTCGACAGTTGAAAAAAAGTGTTGCCGAAAAGAGTAGCAGCAACAGTTGCTGCCGAGAAAGGACAACGGCAGC